CTTATGATTTTATAAACCTCTATAAGATCACCCCTCAGCCTCTGATGCTCCAGAGAAAATAGCCCCAGCCTATTCAGCCTCTTCCTATAGCTCAAACCCTCCAACCCTGGTAACATACTTATAATTCTTTTCTGAACCCTTTCAAGTTTCACAACATCCTTTCTATAGCAGGGAGACCAGAGTTGCATGCGGTATCATTGAAAACCGTTAGCAAGGAATTGGCAAGACACATTTTATTTCCAAGAATTATTAGCTCCTTCAAGGAGTTTACATGAAATATACAGAAAACGTGGCGCCATAGGGTGTTTGGACTTTGAGTGTCATTTTGTATTTTGAATGGAATATAACTTGGTAAGATTTATAAAAGCTTGATGTTCTATAACATGTGTTACAAAGGCCAGCCTTCCACTTGTCATTTTTGTCAATTTGATTGAGAAGTTGGGTTGAGTTGAAGTTGAATTGTTATTCATAATTTACCTTTTCTCTGAGCATACAACCTTAGTGCATTATCCATCCTCATACGCTTCTTTTTTCTGTAACCTTCGACCCGATCAGCCTCAAAACTTGCCTTCTTCGATCTATCCGGTGATCAGCCACAGATGTGAAAACCTCCTTACCTGTGGTGACAGGTTGTGGCCTAGATATCAATAGCACACAATGACTTTGGATACAGTTTCACTTAATATGATACACCATTATTACACCATGATGCAATAATACATACTCACAATGACAGTGATTGCTTAGAAGTCCCACAAACTGTGTTCTATTTCAGGTACTCGATGCATCGACGGATCTTCTGGTGTGATTTTGGATCAGCTGACCAAACTGGTCTACCTGGCTACTGCCATTGTTTATACTTCTATTTCTGTAACTTTGTCATATAAGCTAGCACCTCATTTTGACCCACTTTGGTTTTCAACTGCATCACTGTCCTGATGAAAGCCATCAGAAGACTTCCCCAAATGTTTGGAAGTGAGTTTTCATTTGTTAAAATGGGATTTTCTCAGCCTCTCATCTTGCTGTCCTTTTTCTGCATTCATTGAGCACTCTAAGAGGGGTGCTGTCTAAAAATACAAGAGGTGGGTCTTACACCAGGGCCTTAGATGGGCCAGAGAATCTGTAAATATCATAGAAGTTCACCAAAGATCGAAAGACCTGCAAGTCTCCTTCAAGTATTTTAATGTTCTCCTCCCGTGATCTTTGGGCATTAGTGATGTCTGGCTGCTGCTCTGTGAAGCCAGAAGATCCTATTGCTGACAGCTAGAGATTAGCTCCAGTTACATTCCTTGATATACTCTTTAATTCCATTAGAAAGCATATGTTAGAAGGGCACCTGGATTTTACAACCGACATGGGGTAGGAGAATTGTAAACCATACATTCCTTCTCGCACAGGCTCAGCACACCACAACATCCTTTAATTTGCAGGCAAGTCAGGGCCCAGAATTGTCCCTAAGATCATATCAAGATGCATGATAGTAAACGTTGCAGAAAAGAAAGATCCAAAGAATTGCTTCAAACAAAACTGAGAAAGTAGCACAAAGAGGGCAAAGGTTTAATCTAATAAAGGGTAAAATTAAAGCTATTGTTACAAATAAAAATCAAAAGATAGAATGAACTTTTACATATTAACAGAGGTGGGAAGACTGGAATATTTTACAAATATATTAATAGTGCACCTGGCAAGAGCAGTTTCACACTTTATCTGGGTGAATGACCTCAGACACACTACTGATGGATTCTCTCTCTTAAGATCTTTCTTGGTCTGTTCTGCAGTTTGGTGGATTCAAAAAGAGTGTTGTTCCCACTTGTGTCATCTTGAGGTCCCTGACAGTGTACAAATGACTTGCCTTCCATTGTTTCTCCCAGTTGAAGGAAAACTTTCATTCCTCACTCTCCTCAATCAGGAGCTTCCCCAACTGCAATGAACAAGATCAGAATTGTACCGTAATAGAGAAAACAGTGATAAGAATTTTACTTCTGTGATACACTGGTTTGGAACATCACCACATTGAGTGTAAATGCCACCCCATTGCTAGCTTTCTATGAAAATCATGTGATATATAGATTTACGGATGTGTTGTCTATTTGGCTTATGTTCCATATCCCCTTATCGTACATGGCTGATTTGTTGATATTTTTGTGTTAGTCAAATGCTTACGTATCTGATATGACCATTCCTGTGATAGTTTGGTGGTTCTCTATGTTATGACCTGGAAGATCACTTCAGCTATGTTTCTAAAATGTCCAGTTCATTCATGGTATCTAGGTCCTTTCTTGAAAATTTTTTTTATTGTAAGGCAGAAATCCTGTTTTAATTGTAAATAATTATTCTTCCCCTTTTTAGGATGAGAAAAATCAAGTGCTGATCACCAATGTTTGGCTGCATATGGTAAGATTTTTGTTTAAACGCATTTCCATTTTGTTATCCCTAACTAATAATTATTGCAAATCTTAACATTTCTCAAAATGAGGTTGTTGAAAAATATGAAATCACATACAGCTAAAATATCACTGATTTATTTTCAAATGACACCATGAAGGAGGAATTTGGCTCATCCCAAACCTTATAAGAAGAAAAAATAGACAGAATGTGTACTCAAAGATGGTGGCACTAAGAGAAAATGCTCAGAGAACGAGTGCAGAAATGATGGGCCAAATGGCCTCCTCTGGCTCTCTAATAATTCTATGATTCTCTGTTGAAGTAGTGAAAGATGAAGCTGAAGTATGCTGCACAAAGCTTCATGCTTCTTCATAGATGTTAAACCTGTCCAACCAATATGCCGCAGCCATGAACAGTGCCAGTGGGATGCTGAACTGTAGATGCAAAATTGTAAAAAGAGCATCTGAGATAGTAAAGAGCAAACTTCATATAGTGCTGAAGTCAGACTCGACCTTGGATACTGCATCCAATGCTGAACATCAAGAGAGACATTCACATCCTGAGGAGAGAAGAACTAGGACACTAACTTTCTGTGGCGAGCTCTAAGTAACCTTAGTTTTTTTGAAAGGAACCACTTGAGAGATGTTCTGAGACAAACATGTTATGTAGCATTGTTAAACTGGATTATTACATTATAAAATGGCAGAAGTAAAATCAGGGACACACCTTCAAACTACGTATGAGTAAGTAAGGATACATATCAGGAAATACTACCCCCATGGGAAGTCTCTCTGTTGAATAAACTGAGGTAGAGTGGTAGAGTCAAAGACTTAATTGGATGCTACCAGGTTGGGAAATGGAGTTGAATGTAAAGGGACTCTCTCTGGATAGCTAAATCAATAGGGCCAAAGATGTCTGAATCAATATTATTGTGAAATCTTGCGAGTAGGAGTCCTATGCCTTCCATCTTCTATATATGTAACACATTAGTAACTAACAGCATTATCCATAGTGGTGGCCTAGTTGTAATTTAGACAGGTTTTCTCAGGGGCAGTTTGCCTGATGGTTGTGCAGTTCCCAAATTCCTGCATTTTAGTATGTTGACATATTGTATTAAAGCCATGATCACTTCCATCTAGAAGGACAAGGGCAGCAGATATTTGGGAACACCATCACCTTCAAGTTCCCCTCCAAGCCATTCACCATCCTGATTTGGAAATATGTCGCTGTTCCTTCACTATCGCTGGGTCCAAATCCTGGAATTCCCTCCCTAAGGGCATTGCAAATTAACCCACAGCTGGTGGATTACAGCAGATCAAGAGGCAGCTCACCACCACCTTCTCAAGGGCAACTAGCAATGGGCAATAAATGCTGGCCAGCCAGTGATGCCCAAACCCCACAAAATGAATAAAAAACAGACACAGCTCTGGTTCATTTAAATGTATTTCGTTTTTTGCAGATCAGCAATAGTAGACCTTGCCACTCCCCTGATTAAACATTTTAATATATTACTTGCAATGTTGAGTTTGAAATTTGTGAAGAAATTGGAATAATGTATCACTTATTGATTCGTAGTAACTACATAATTCATACCTTTTTAAAACCAGTAATCGGCATCCTGTAGGTCACAATGATGTATAATTGAAGTTCAGACTTATCAAACTTAAAATGGTTTGAAGATGCACTACGAGTACAATTGCATAGATTCACAAAAAGGAACATTAATTTCAAACAAACATTGAGACGCAATGCAATTCCTATTGTAAAATAAGGATTAAATGTAATACTTTTTTCTACTGTGAGCCTTTCCACTTTAATCAATTGTGGAAGAACACTTTTGTTATCAGTATATCATTTGTTGAGTATTTCAAGGACAGGTGCCGCATGGCAACTATCTGACATTGATTGACATAAAAACCCATCCAGTTCACTAAAGTCCCTTAAGAAAGAAAATCAACCAACTCTACCTGGTCTGGCCTACATGTTACTCCATATCCACTATCATGCATAATCTTAACTGCCTTTTGAAAGGGTGTAGCAAGTCATTCAGTTCAAGAGCAATTGTTGATGTTCAACAAATGTTGGCCTTGCTGGCAATGCTTACAGTCCATAAAAGGATAAAAACAAAATTTTCCAAAGTTTTGGGACAGAAATGCTTGGAAAATCAGATTCAACCAAATTTCAGATATCCTCAAGTCTTTTCTAAGCATGACAGCTTGAAGTTAAGATTTAGATTATATATACTCCCTTGTTCACTGCCAAGGAATTTCGATACTCCACAGCTCAGACAACTGTAAATTTCTAGAATTGTTACAGATCACTGCATTAGAAAAATTAGCTTCATTGGGTGAAATCCCACCCTGACTAATTTTGAAGATGATGTAGAACAATGATGTCCGCTATACTAGCCCTTAGCCCACCTGTGACTTATTGGAAATACAACTGTGGCTAATTGCATCTTTAATTAGTAAATAAATGAGTAAAAGGTGCATTTGGTGATCACCGTGCTCATAACTAGACACTGCCATGGTAAATTGCCCGTAGTGTTCAGGGATGTGTAGATTAGGTGAATTATAGGGGGTTGGGTCTGGGTGAGATGCTCTGAGGGTCGGTGTGGACTTGTTGGGCCGAAGGGCCTAATTCCGCACTGTAAGGATTCTATGACTGTATGAAAAAGTGAGGGGCAAATTGCTAAACATGATGGAATCTGTACTATAAATAAAAAGTGTTTGAAATCAAAGTGGGTCAGTCTGCATCCATGGAGAGAGAGCAAGCCTCTCTCCCCCTGCACTCCATCAATCTCCCCACGATCCCACTATTGCATAAATGCTGCCCCCTCCACGCTTCATGTCACCTCCTGAAGAGTCATCTAGACCAGAATGGTAGCTTGCTCTCTCTCCATGGATACTGCCTGACCTGCTGTGATTTCCAGCATTTTCTGCTTTCAAGACAAAAAGTAAAGTGTATCAGTGTTAGATTGTTATTTGACTGTTAAGTAGTTTCACTTCAACAATAACTAATATTATGCAATACCCTTAATGTAATGGCGCACCCCATGACACTTAAGGGAGTATTACAGGACAAGTAATGGCACCAAGTCCCCTAAGATTGTAGTTATATTTAAGGTGTTCTTGAAGGATGAAAGCATAGTAAAGAAGCAGGAAGGAATAGGGAACAAACCTGAGAGTTCAAAATCTATCGACAACTGATAGTATGGTGGAGTGATTAATAGCAAAGATATACATGAACCAGAATTAAAAATGTATACTTATATCAGAGGGTTGTAAGATTAGAAAATATTAATTACTAAGATGACCTATTGTTTGGTTACTCGTGGTATAATTTTGGTAATTGAATATTCACTTCCAAAGTGTAGATACTTGAAGGTGTGAGTTTGTGCAAAGCATTTTCTGTTACACTTAGTGTGTGCAGCTAAAATGATGTTGCATGTGACTAGGTAGCAATGTTATTGGACAGTATTGCTTCAGCTATTGCAGTGTTCTTGTAAACAAAGTAACCTAACATCTTACAGCTCAAATGGAGGCCATTTGGCCCATTGTGCCTGTATTTGTTCTTCAGAGCTATCAATTTTTGTCGCACTTCTACATTCTGCCACCATATATTAGCCTGCCTTTTCTTAAAAAAAAGTATAGACTTAATATCCTTTTGAAAAAAAACACACACTATGGAAAAAAAATCTCCTTATCTGTCCACAGTTTCAGGTATCAATTATTTTGAATCAGTGCTGTCTGATTTTGTCATTCTGGTGGTTGGACTCTGGAAGCTTAATAATTTTGCACACCTCTATAAAATCTGCCTTAATTTTTCTATTCTATGAGAATAATTACAGCTTCTCCAATTTCTTCACATCACTAATTTGCTTTATTCCTGGTCTCATTTTAAATCTAAAGTGTAGTCTTGGAGCGCAACCAGGCATTCATAATGTGGCCATCTGGATCATATATCAACAAAACTGATTGATCAGGTGGCCTTGTTATGAATACCTGGTTGAATGTATTTAGCTTTCACAAAACAATGTTTATGCAGAGGCGAGTGAAATATTGTTTGATTGGCATCTCTATTGCCTTGTTGCTTTAGTTCTTTTTGTTTAAACTACCTGTTTGTTTGTTTGCATACATGTAAGAGCTATGAGGTAGAGAGATTGGCATTTATATTACAAATATTTTTGGTTGTTTGGCACTTTAAAGAGATTGTAGATTGAGCCATTGTTTTTCAAAGGATCTTTACAAAGTTTTTGCTTATAATCTTAGTTTTAGGATTATATTATAGACTTGCCAGACTTGTCAATGGCTCATTGGTTTGTTATATTGTGGATACTAAAGTGAAAGAACATTGGTATAATTGTGGAAGAATTGTGGCAGATGGAATTCAACCTGAAAAGTGTGAAGTGATTAATTTTAGAAGGTTGAATTTGAATGCAGAATACAGGGTTATTGGCAGGATTCTTGACAGTGTGGAGGAACAGAGGGATCTTGGGGTCCACGTCCATAGATCCCTCAAAGTTACTACCCAAGTTGATAGGGTTGTTAAGAAGGCGTGTGGTGTGTTGGCTTTCATTGGCAGGGGAATTGAGTTTAAGAGCTGCGAGGTTATGCTGCAGTTCTATAAAACTCTGGTTAGACCACAATTGGAATATTGTGTTCAGTTCTGGTCGCCTCATTGTAGGAAGGATGTGGAAGCTTTAGAGAGGGTGTAGAGGAGATTTACCAGGATGCTGCCTGGACTGGAGGGCAGGTCTTATGAGGAAAGGTTGAGGGATCTAGGGCTTTTCTCATTGGAACGAAGAAGGATGAGAGGTGACTTGATGGAGGTGTACAAGATGATGAGAGGCATAGATAGAGTGGATAGCCAGAGATTTTTTCCCAGAGTGGAAATGACTATTACGAGGGGTTATCATTTTAAGGCGATTAGAGGCAGGTATAGGGGAGATGTCAGAGGTAGGTTCTTTTCACAGAGAGTGATGGGTGCATGGAATGCGCTGCCGGCAGTGGTAGTGGAATCAGATACTTTAGGGACATTTAAGCGACTCTTGGATGATAGTAAAATGAAGGGTATACAGGGTAGTTTGATCTTAGAGTAGGATAATAGGTCGGCAAAACATTGTGGGCTGAAGGGCCTGTACTGTACTGTTCTATGTTCTATAATTATAGATCGTTAGGTGGAATTCAGGTGCAATTAGTGCATTACTCTTTCAGAATAAAGATTAATTCAGTATAATTAAAGACTGAATAGATTGTCATCTTATGGGATTATTTTAACTGATGAAAATCTTCACCTAAGTGATACCTTGTGTAGAAAGATTACTTTCAACATAATGGCTCAATAAAAATACATAAATGTCATGTACACCCTATCACTAATCTAATGGATTTAAGAGACAAGGTATTTTTTGACCTACTTCTGACCTAAGCATATTTTTAAGATTTTGTAACAAAGTACATTGTGCACATTGATAAAACCTGCAGTGTGAAAAAATCCTGGTAAAGTAGCTTTTAGAAAAAGGTATGTTAAATAGATAAAGTAAAATAGATAAAATGGCTTCTAAGGATGGTAAACATGACCACAAGTCTATAACCTCAAGATTTTGATGAAAAATAAAACTTTTAAAAAGCATGGCACAAGATACACCAGGCATTAAAAAAAAAAGTCTCATTCAACAGTATCAATTCAACTAAGGATATCCAAAATGAAATATCACCTATAATCTTTACAGAAAGGCAGATAAATTGTAACCTTGAATGAACTTGACAGGAAAAAAGGTTAATATAAAACAAAGAACTGTGGACATTGGAGATCTGAAATAAAAATAGAAATTGCTGGAGAAATTCAGCAGATCTGGTAGCATCTGTGGACAGAGAGACAGAATTAACGTTTTAAGTCCAGTGACCGCTTCATATTTATGCTGACAATGGGGTCGGAATGGGGGGTGGTGAGGTCAGCAGATAGGTGGAGACGAAGCCCAGAGAGAGGGAGAGAGAGACATAGGTATGAAAGGCGATCATTGATACTAAGCTAGGACAGAAGAGAAGGACTAAGATAATAGGACTCAGAGTGGGTGAGATGGCTCAGCTGAGCTGAAAATATGACAGGACCAGGGTGTGGGGGTGGTGGGTAAAAAAACATGGAAGGACGTAACCAGGCTGTAAAATTATTAAGCTTGATGTTGAGTCCTAAAGGCTGCTTGATCCTTGAGCAGAAAATGAAATCTTGTTCTTTGAGCTTGCGCTGAGGCTTGCTGGAGCACTGCAGCAGGCCTGCGACAGAAATGTTGGCATATCAATTTCGGTCTCGAACCTTCTCAATACTTTATTCCACTGCTCACTGGGGTAAAGAACAGCAAAAATTCAACAGTCTCTGAACAAAGAAATTCTTTCTAGTCTTAAATTGCATACCTCCTATTCCTGAGGTCATGTCCTTATTTCTAGAGCCACCAACCAGAGGAGAAATCCTATCTACATTCATCCAGTCATACCTTGTAAGAACTTTTCAAGTTTCAATGAGATCACCTCTCCAAAACTCTAGGCACTTCCAAAGGTCCAATGTTCCAGTTCCAAATCCAATGTTCCAGTTCCAAAGTGTATATTTCAACCCATCAAAATGATCACTCGTATAAATATGGGCCTTCTACTTCTTGCCTCAAAATGTGGTGGTCTCAAACTCAATGTTTGCAAGAATATAGATATTTCTCATCAATCTGTTCAAAGATGTGCTGAGACACCTCTGGAACGGGTGGGACGTGACCCCAGGTCTCTTGGTCCTGAGGTAGGGTTACATCCACCATGCCTCTACTCCTTGAACATCAGGTGCCATCACCCCACAGACAGAGTCACTATGGTAGATGTCCTGCATAGTCAATAGTTAAAGTCATGTAGAACTTCAAATTGCATCAACATATGATGCTGCTGTCTGATTCAGATTGACGCTGCACCCTTTCAAACTGATGCATTGAAATTACCACAAAACAGAAAAATTAGAAATGTTACCTGTTTTTCACAGGGTAGTAGTTAAAATTTCCCCTTTCTTGCTGTGTGATACAGTGTCCAACATTTTGGACCTGTCTCAGTGAATGGTAGAACCTTAGCCCCCCATGTAATGGTTGGTTTTTATCCTCATCCATGTTTTGGAGAGAGATGCCAAGCAGAGATCAAGGGCACATTCCAGAATGAGTGTTATCAAAGCTTCCTGTTACTGTGCAGTGTCACTCAGGGCAAATGACCTGCCTCGTCTTCCACACAGGAACTGGAGAAGAGAAGAAATGGTAAGGAAGGAAGGGAAGCATTTTGTAACTTCAGAACGCCCAAATCTCGGATTTGCTTCATAGCTGTTAAATCTTGTTGAAATATATTCACTATAAGTAATTACAGGACAATTTGAAATTTATATGGTGTGATGAGTCCTGAAAGTGGAAGTTTATTGGCACTAGGATATCTGAACATATGAGCATGTGAATCAAGAACAGGAGTCAGCCATTTGGCCCCACCATTTAATAAATTCATAGCTAACCTGATTGTAACCTCAATTCCCCATTTCTGCCTAGCCTTGATATTTTTCCACTCACTGGCCGCCTTGTGCATAAATAATCTAAAATAACATACAAATACAAAATGCATTAACATGTCCTGTTAATAAGTGTATATATTAAACCAATTGTTTCTTGCCTCAAATAGCACTGGAAAGACTGCTACCTAAAGTGGAATGTTACTGAATATGGTGGTATACGCACCATGCACTTTCCTTCAGACTATGTGTGGGTCCCCGACATTCTCCTCTACAACAGGTGAGATGAATTTATTTCCATTCATTCCAATAATGACCTCTGTCTCACCTTTAACATTGTGGTCCTTTCCTTTAAAAAATATAATCAAATTCTATTTTATTTTAGAAATGAACTGGAACATTTTTCTCACGCAGTCTTCTGTATAGTTTATCAGATATTAATGCTGACTGTCTCACAACATTCAGTTGCAGGATTCATTGTAAACTTCTATGCCAGGTTTCACATATGGAAAACATCCAGTGTAATAATGTTGAATATTTGGATGATGTTTTGCTTGTAGGTAGCACTATTGTGGATTTTCTGATTTAATAAAGTGTGCTATACTCATAAATTAATATTGTGTGTCAGCCTAAAACTTTTTTATGTTATCTGTATATTGAGTGTGTGGGTATTTAATAAGAAGGAACTGTTGCCAGTTGTAGGCTTGCCCATAAGGTGGCATTGCATTCTGAACTGGGATCTGATACTTTGTGCTGGGTCGTCATTGGATTGAGGTAAATAAACAGCGAGGCATTTTTCAACGTTTGTTTAAACTTCTAACTTGCATTAAATCTATATTTAAAGGCTGCTTCTTGCTCCATCTCACTGCAACCTACAGAGTGGTGCCTGAGTGAGAAGAATTCTTTCTCCATTGGCAACACATTTCCTGCCCCCATCTCATGCTGAACACAAACTGCCCGTTCAGTGTCTTTACAGAAGGTGTCCTTTTCCTTTACCGAGGCTCTAAAAAAACTAGAATGTTACCTGATGACTAGCCCCTGACCTGGCTATGCTGAAATTTGGCATCCCCCCTCCACCTACATTAACCTCCCATACTTCCCTGATGGTGGTCTTCCCCAAAATTGCAGCCATGCAATGGAAACTTACTTGATACAACAATTGGTTTTAAACTTGACCTTGGACTGATAATTACTTTTTCTGTCTTGCATCTTGAAACCTCCACTGTCGCCAATCTGCCACTCACATTTTAACGAAAGCCCTTAACCAGTAAAATTTGGATGGGAATCAAAAAAATGAGGTGAAGTAATCAGTGGTTTTAAGGCAGTCAACTAAGAAGCGAGAGTTTAGATATGATGCATCAGCTCAGTAGATCAGAAAAACATCACTCTTAATAGCTAAGAAATGTTTACTGTTCCTGTAACAGATAAACTAATGGAGGAAGAGGGGAATTACCATCTAGACTGAGGAAATTGGAACTGTTTTCTTTGGAGAGAAGGCTTAAAAAAAATTTGATTGAAATTTTCAAAATTGTCAGAGGTCTGCCAATGTAGATGGGAAAAACTGGTCCTGTTCATAAAAGAAGCAAAATTAAAAGAGCACTGATTTAACTAAATTTGCCAAAAAGTAAAATGCCAAAAAAAAAGTAAAATCTTTTCTTTTCAAACAAGTGGTTTGGGACTGGATAACACTGGCTGGAAATATGGTGGGTGCAAGTTCAGTTGGGGCATTCAAGAGGGCATTAGATGATTATTTAAATATAGCACCGTGCACAGGGTTATGGAGAGAGGGCAGGAGAATGGTACAAGTCACGATGTTCACTTGGAGAGCTGGTGCAGATACAGCTGAAAACCTCTCTCTGCATTTTCACAGTTCCGTGATTACGATCTCCTTCGATTGATCAACTAGAGCTAAATCAGACAAATCAACAGATGAAACTAATTTCCATAACTGGAGGTGACATTATCTTCCACGGTGATCTTCTTGAGCTAACTAAAGTGTTAGGCTGAAACTAGCATTGGTCCAGCTCAAGAAGCTTTGGTTCTATCATAATGATTTTCTCCTTTTAAAGCCTTCGATATATCTTTCTTCCAGGAACATAATGGTGATGTCATGTCAATCACTTGTTCAATTGCTATTAGCAAGAAAACCACATTCAAGATAATTCCTCCTATTTTCTTCCTTGACTGCACATTTACCTTGTGGCTTATCATTTGTCAGACCATCCTGTTTAACCTTTACTCAGGTAGTCATCTTACACATGGGTCATGAGATCCCACCTAGGTCTAAGGAGTCTATTTTACCACAGCTAATGTCACACGCAAGGTAGATATAACAGGCAGTACTGTCCTGTGTTTGCACTGCCTCCTAATGCTGATACATTAGAGGAAACCAAATCTGAAATCATGTTTCACATTTTTGCAAAAGAAATCAGACAGATGGTAATTTTCCAAAACTCCAAAGATGAAGTGAATATTTTCACTTTTAAATTATGAAAAAGCTACACAGTCAGGATTTTACAAGCACTTTCTATCATCTGCTTCTCTGGTCTGTGGCTCAAAAATGATGTTTGCCTTTGGAAAAAAATCATCATGCAGGAGTATATGGCAGTAAGCATCCATCTCCATTCAGTCCAATAACGCTTCATTAAATGCAGCCTACCTTAGAATTCCTTTTTATATGCATACTGAAGTAATTTTCCATATGCAGTTATAGCCTGACCTGGTTTTTAGCAGCTTTGATTATTTCTCTTATACCTGAAGTGTGATAAATGGAGCTAGCCCATTTAACAACCCCACAACACTTGACAAAAGGACACAGAGTGCAGCAAATTAATCTTGCAACCCCTGATGACATTCAGGCTTCCCTTTTCACCCCAAACTAAAACTAATTGCAATATTTGAAGCTGATCTAGCAATCTGATACTGACATTATTTCAGTTTTAGCCTTGCCCTGCCCAGGTAATTTATGGAGCTGTGTTTGTGAAAAGATTATAAAATATAACTTTTTAAAGACAGTTACTTCAATTTTAACATAAGAACAGGAGGAGACATACAGCTCCTCCAGTTATTAGTATATGATGGAACGGTTTGTACATTGGTATTCCATCTGCTTGAACAGACTTATGAACAAACTTACCTTGATCAGCAAGTCCAGGAGAGGGACTCAAACCAAGAGTGACACTGACCCATTCCACCACAAGACCTCCCGTATGTTGTCTAGTTTATTATAAAGATAATAAAAAAAACTATAAGTTTAACACTAAACATATATCTGTAAATGGGAATTTAATTACGTCAACTCCGCTCAACAGTATTGAGCAATGGGAATTATACAGTAATTATGCTACTTGCTTGGCCTCCTATCACTTGCTGTATTCCTGAGATAACAAGGTATAGAGCTGGATGAACACAGCAGGCCAAGCAGCATCAGAGGAGCAGGAAAACTGACGTTTTGGGCCTAGACCCCTATTTCTGATTTGTTCTGTTTTTGTTGAACTCAGTTTTCATGGGTGATTTTCAAATGTAAATCGCTGATGTTCTAGTGGGTTAGGTGGGGGTGGTGTGGTGTGTGGAATACAGTGTGAAATGGTTGTCTATACAACTTGCTTGAAGTTTTTCATTGAATTTAGTGAAGGATGCAAAAGGGTGCTTCAAGGCAAATACTCTCAAGTGTGGTATTCTGTCTGCTATTTGGCTGCAGCATTAAACCATTTAAAATGGGCACTCCAGTGCTGTATTAAAATAATGGAATGAGATAAACTTAATGAAACAATAATATCAGGCAACGCTTAACTGTAACAGTAATTTTCAGGTTAATAAATCATAAATTATGACTCTGATTTCCTGATTTTACACAAAAATAACTAGAAGGCTGCAAAGTAGTTCCAGATTGTAGTTTTATTTTTCAAGCAGAGACCAGTTTTCTTGATAGTGATTTTCAATAACAATTTTGAATAACTTCAAAATTTGATCCTCTTGAATTTGCAGTTTAAATGGTTCTAGGGGTGAATTTACACATTTAAGAAAATATCAAAGGAAATGAATTGAAAAAAAACATTTCCGATAAAGGTGAAGTTTTATCAGTCAAATCTCATAGATAATAGTGAACAGCCTTGAGTGATTAGACTGTGCACATCAGTGATTTTAGAACAGTGCTGTCTATGTCCCGACCAGGATAATATTTGAAAATATTTGAAAAATTTGACCAGTTAATAGCCACTATCTGTGTGGGCATGATTATTCGTCTCGCTCTACTTGGCGCGGCACGGTGGCTCAGTGGTTAGCACTGCTGCCTCACAGTGCTGGGGACCCAGGTTCAAATTCCACCCTCGGACGACTGTCTGTGTGGAGTTTGCACATTCTCCCTGTGTCTGCATGGGTTTCCTCCGGGTACTCTGGTTTCCTCCCACAGTTCAAAGATGTGCAGCTTAGGTGGATTGGCCATGCTAAATTGCCTATAGTGTTCAGGGATGTGTAGCTTAGGTGGGTTATAGGGGGACGTATCTGGGTGGAATGCTCCAAGGGTCAGTGTGGACTTGTTGGGCTTAAGGGCCTGTTTCCCCACTGTAGGGATTCTATGATTCTAAAGTGCACCATTAGCTCATGAGTTGCAATGTAAATGAAAAATACTTCCTACAGTTACCAAATGACCAATTAAATTCTTTATTGATGTCTGGTTTTAAATAAAAAACATCTATCAACTAGATTTCTTAGTAAACCCATAATTGTATTAGTTGGTTAACATACATTGGCCAGTAATGTAGAATGGTTACCTCTAAATTTCCCCAAAGCACATGCACACAAACACAGTCTTTATGATAAGAGGAAAAAAAAAAATTCTCTGCAGAGTTTGGTATTTTGGGGAAAAGAAAACATTGGCCAATGGATTATTCCAAGTGGTCTTCCCAAGTATCATTGTACACCAGTACAGCATCAAAATAAGCTATGCAACTAGGAACACTGGCTACCATTTGGTAAAGTTGCTGGACCATTTTTCAGCCTGAATGATGTAGCCTACATCAGCCTACACGAACAGCATCAGAAAGAGACTACACACCCCGACACACTCATCACACTACCCTATATCAGAAACACGTCGGAACTCACCACAAGACTCCTACAATCACTGGGAGTGGCACACAAGCCCACGTCAACCCTACGACAACTGTTCACCCGAACTAAGGACCCACCCCCCGCCATGGACAGGACCAATGTCATCTACAAAATCCCCTGCAGAGACTGCAAGAAACACTACATCAGACAAACAGGAAGGAAACTAAC